GTGAAGTGAGGTGGTGCCGGGAAGAGAAACGGCGTATATCGGGAACGGCCCGGCGCGGCGTCGGGAATGCGTAGGGAGGGGGCGTGGGGAACGGGTGACTGTCCGCTCTAAGCAAAACCGCACGGTCAGAGCGCTTCGGCGGTTCTCCGAAGCAACCGGGGCCTTTCTCCCCCCACCCTCCCTCTCTCTCCCCTCCAAACAAACTCCCTCGCTCTCCAGCGGGGGGGGGGGGAGGAGGCATGAGAGCCAGTGTGCTCTCACACCGCAGCGACGGTCCAGCTCTGTGGTGTGTGTTTGCTATAGTACTTCTTGTCAGGGGTGCTTTGTAATAGAGAGAGTGCTGTCACATGATATATTTGAATGATTAGCACAATGCATACTGTATCAGTTGTATTTGACAATTTGATTAATTTGATTCAAATCTATGTAAACAAAGTGACAGTTTTCTATCTCTATAAAAAGTGTAATTTTTAAATGCTTCATTTCTGTTAATACAGAACCATTAAAACTGCATTATTATTCAAATTAATCAAAACGAACACAGGGAAATTTTTAAATTAATGATATGTAGTAAGCCGTTGTCACACTGAATCTAGATCTCGACTCTGCTGATTCCCTGTCAATGAGCTCGAACCATTATTCAGAGATATGCATGCAGCAATAATTCATCGCTTTCGCTTAACATTTAGAGGGATGTAGATTCGCTTAGCGAGTGGACGCTTCAAAGCCGCAGGGGAAGGCTTGCGTTTGGGATTGTGTGTCTGCCGCAAGACTAAATAGACATGTCAGATGGTAGTAAGACGCTGCAGAATATGACTCAGCGGCATTTGAAACATCAACAATAGAAATGACGAGTTTAACTCCTACAGGGTCTCAATGTTAAACGAGCAGGCAGAAAAATGGGCTTGATGATGGTTCATAATAATACGAAGTGTGAAAGCTTAGAGAAACAAGTCTTAAGATCAAAGAATTTGAAGACTAATCTCTTTCTCCCTTTGCATTTATTTGTAGATTCGTAATAGATATACGTATATCACAATAATTCAACAATAATTCTTTAACGATCGTGTCGTCGGTTTACGGGTGATGATAATTGACTTGATTCAGTATAATAGGAAACGTGAAAGAAATCTCTAGCTCCCTTTGCAAATATTTGTAGTTTTGTACACGCTTCATAACGTAAATAAACAATAATTGTTTAACGTAAGCGTCAACAGCTGCTTCCTTTGTAAGCTCTCAATAATGATTAACTCGGTTGCTTCTGTGAGGCGGTAGAAGGGAGTTCAAACAACTGCACCTCTTTACATTGCTGGCTCAATAAATCTATCAGACGTAAGTTGGAAATAGAATCGCAATCCTGGAGAAAAGATTAAAAGCAAATTAAAAGCTAGTGAATTGTTAGCAGATATAAGTAATTAAATGATCCGGTTTGGCATGGTCATTGTCACCAGAAGTATGTCAACAACACTGAATATTCATTGTTGAAACACGCTCATTTTCTAGAGGTCGAGGTGAATGAAGTAGTCAGGATGTCAAAACCACTTGATTGACGTCATACACTTTCGAAGAATTTTATATCGAATTAAAATCGTAGCATTGTTTTGCACTGGGAACCAATGGTAATGACAGCATATTTGTGTTGGCAACCTGGCTTGGAAACGATTTTGCCCGTTTTCATTTCACTGCTAGCTCTGTTTTATCTGTTCTGTTCGAAAGGCAAACATTTCCAATTGTACCAGGTTTACTGGATTTTTTAAAACACTGCGATTATCCCACCACAACGACCCACAAAGTGATTCTGAGGATTATCGGCATGCACCATATCTTCCGGATCTGCAATACTTGTCGGAGATTCTATAGATAGTGAGTGGAGGGGGGTCATAAAGGATAGGAGATAAGACCATCGCTCCACTATAAGATGTGGATCAGGATCGCACACGATCTGTGGCCCATCCAGTGTCGAGTACTGCTCCGGTATTCGCCTGGAAGCGAACAGGGAAATAACGTAACCTGCTGATCAGAGAAGATGGGCTGCGAATTCGACCCCGTCAGTGGCCAAAACAAAAGGCGCCGTTGTTAAACACAAGAAAATTTGCGGCACCTGAGGGAGGTCGAACTGGCGGCATCGACCACCGGTGCGCTTGAGTCGGAAAGCATTGTCTTGACACCCACCGCTACGGCGGGGTTAGTGTTTATTAGACACAGACAGGGTTGCCAGATTGGGGGAGTTGGTCTCCAAAATGGGCATTTCTTTTACTGCGGGTAAGGAATAGGGAACATAAATTGACGAGAAATTATATGGAGATTGTTTAAGGAAATTGTTTTCATTTGGAGTCGAGGTAGAAATAGTATTTTCTCAATTATTTTGAATAAAAAATATACGTTATTCTCTGAGAAAACAGCGATCTCAAATAACGTCGATTGGTTGATTTGAATTACTTGAATTTAAGGGGACAGGCAATGGAATCGTCAGGGACATCTCATGTCGATGGTCTATAATTTGGAGAATATTATTCGTTTCATAGTTGGGGAATTTTGTATCTCTGTAGAGGTTATTTGGGGAAATTCCGTAATTGCGGTAAGGAAATAGCTCGCAGCACATGTGGCATCCCGGGATATAGGAACACGGGAATTTGAAAGTGACATTTCTGTTGAATTCGTGTTAGTATGAAGTTGTTAAATAAACCTGCCTCTATACAAAAATTAGAATTTGTAAAGACTATCACGAGACTCAATATTTATGATCCTTTTTCCCTATGTGAAAGTTTGTTTTCTAGTCTAAAGCCGTTCGGAGAAAGAGACTGTTCCATAAACATGGCCGTTTAGCACGTTCAGCAGGGTTCTTCTCGGGTTTTCTGTAATTTATGGCTCAATTCTTTTTCTTGACTTCGGAAAACGGAAAAGTAATTTTCGTTACCCTCCCATAAGACCATTTATTACAACACCGTCTTAAGACCTTTAACATGCCTAAGAAACTGAACAAATTATAAAAATAATATTGTTCTATCATCATTTTTCTCGCTCATATATTATTGTATATTTTATATCAAGATTTAACATGATAAAATAGGGAATAATTTGGAAGATCAAATATGGAATAATTTAAATGTAAAAAAGTCATTAAAATTATTATAAATATTTAGAAAAAGCCGCTATGTTTTACAAAAAATAAGATCTTGTCATAAAGTGCTTGCGAACATGCTTGCTCAATATTTTATGGGCATAAAATTACAAAATTTCGCTAATGTTCGTAAAACGCTAAGAAATATGTAAAATCATAATGTAATTAAGAACATTAAAGAATGATCAATAATCTCAGACGAAATTGGAAAATGTTCTAATGACAATCATAAAATTAATTATAGGCAGCTGCAATATTTAAAGTTCAAGATTGTATTAGTGTAGGTTCGTTTGTATGCATTTAATATTCATTGAAACGGAATAGAACATTGAATATTAATTGTCTCTATTCTTCTGATGCACTGTCCCTAACACCGTATTGGCGTCAATCAATTCACCAACTAACACTTCCATTTAAATCAAGGATATCAAAGTCTCGGAAAAGCTTACTACAGTGCGCGGACATTGTATCCAGAGCATCGAGCGCGAAATTAAGAGAAAGAATTGTACAAATTCCTCCGAAGTGGCGGAACGTCAATGGAAACCTGGCCCCGCCTGTATTTTGGAGAAGTTGTCGAAGTCAATTATTGCCTCACTAGAAATATTAATACTCATTTACTCTATTAAAACAAGCAAATGACCTATTTAAATGAAATACTTCAGTCATATTGGAAACAGACACTTGAGAGGAAATTTAAACCGAGAGTATTTTCGCTAAGTAGCAATTTCTTTACATAAAAATGTAATAATCTTCCACCATTCAGGTTAAGAGGATTAACCAAGGTTATTTTCTGTAAAACGAGCCGTCCACTCGTAAGAGAGACTTGTTAGTTTATGGAATGTTGTTATACTTTATTTCAAATTTTTTCTTCATGCGGCAAATAACATAATTATTTAATAAAACAATCCAAAACGAAAAAGAATTAATCATTCAACCATATTCCTATCCCTTAGCAAAAAATGTGTTTAAATGGCAGAATTTAGAAAGAAAATAAATACGAAATAAAGCAATTATAAGTAAAGTATAAATAAACATAATTCAAATCTCAGTTGTTTGGTAGAAACGATCAGGCAAACATTTTAATATATAGCTATTCTTTGTTATACGAGTATTTCGAACGTGCCTTGCACTTATAATCCCCGCTTCAGCTTGCGTGTGGACACACTCTTTTGGTTTTGATGAAATGAGAGCGGAGTCAGAAGTTTCCCATGCTCCTAGGAGCGCCGGCTTCCCAGGAGGGCAAGTAGCTGGTGCGAGCACTGTTTCTTATGCCTGATTTTAACTGCACAAGCAATTGCTTATTAACTCCCTATTTCCGAAGAAAAGTTTCGATGTCGTTTCTTTGACCTTTACGCTTCAATAACAACATGAGAACAATCATTTCTTACGCGGGTTCAAACTCACAACACCGATTCAGTTTATTCAGTAATTGTTTGCTATTGTACGGGTAGTATGGTAGAAAATGTTTCTTATCTACTAGAATTCTCTGTATCATACAAATGCGTCGCGATACATCTTCCAGAAACTTTTGGTTTGCAAAATGGATACACACAGGCAGTTTTAAAAACATCTAACGAGATGGTTGTTCGACACGTCGTCGCGGCATGTTTTCGAGGTGACATTTGATTAGTTTTCCATTCTTTAATATACCCTACACATCAATACGTGAAATCTATAAAAACGGTACAAACTTATTCGTTCGTGATGTTAAAATCTAGAAAAGATAATATACAAAGAGATTGTCTCAATGCCTGCTCTGTGCTCTTAGTAAAGCGAGATGCGCTGTGAGTTATGGGAAGAAAAGGGGAAGCAAGGCACTAAGATGCAGCGTAGTTGAAGTAGGAGTGGAGGCAGAGGAGTAGGAAAACCGCTCCGCAGTTCAAAAGGGAGGGGCCTCTTGGCCTCCTGGAGCACGTAATGCGGCACTGACCATAACGTCCGAAATGACCTAATGAAAAAAAAAATTACGGCCCATAATGAAAAATTCTTCGAGCGCAGAAAATACACGCCCGAAAAAATATTTATGGGCATGCCATTAATTACGGCTTAGCGAGGAGAAAGAGAGAGGGTGTGAGACGAAGGTACAGAAAAGGTAGCGAAATGGCCGTGGGCAGAGGATATATCCAACTGGCACGTAGTCGCGCCCTGGGGAATCCCTGGGATATATGTCGTACTTACAACTGGAAATGGCCCACGCGGAATGCCTGGCGTTTTGCTTAAAAACTCGGGCAAGCGACGCTGACAGTACAGATTTACGTATGATATATCCGAGTCGGGAGCGAAATGGCTGCATCTGTCAAGAACATTTTTCTGCGAAAGTTCTTTGGAAACTCTGTTAGCAATAAATGGTAGTCGTCCCGTCATATCAACACGAGGAAAGATGGTCGTATTTTTTTTTTGCCTGAAAGTGACATTTAGGCATTTGCGGACACTTCGTAGAACAGATGGGCAATGTGATCGGAAATTGCGACATCCTGTCACATGCAGCGAGCTGGTTGATCGACACGTCGGCGCGGCATGTTTTCGAGGTGACATTTGATTAGCCTTCCATTCTTTGATATACCCCTACACATCAATGCGTGAAATCTATAAAAAGGGTACAAACGTATTCGTTTATTTGATGTTAAAATCTAGAAAAGATAACATACAAATAGATTGTTAAGATAGAAAATGGTAAAATGAGATAAAAGATGAATTATTAGCAACTAAAAAAATTACAAAAATCTCTACCACTCAAAAAAAACTAAAAATATCATTAAATGAAAGAAGTAAAACAAACTAATAAAACAATACCACACTTGCTTCTTGGACACACATTTGACAACAAAGCAATTTAACATTATGAGCCTCTGCCCAAAACCTAACGTTTTCGGGATAGGCTACAGTAAAGAACTACAAATAAACAGTTCAATGTTATCAATATATCGATTACATCATTCATTATTTCCCATTAACCTCAAAAGCTTGCTCCAATCCCCACAGATGCTATATCTATATGCTTTAACATGAACATTTCTTACTTTAGTCTAAAGAACAGTGATATGTGTTCATAATATACGTTATATTTTCGCGGTCAGGTATTAGCTCATGAACTTGTCGATCGTCCGCAGGAACGAACTCGTAACGAGCGCGTACAAAATACTAAAGACCATCAAATTTCTTTGCGAGGAGGGATTATAGTCTCTCAGAAATAACGAATGAATTTGCAGAGTACTAGCAGATGCAAGATTTTACAATTCTTTGATAATATAACTAATTATGCATTTTCTAGAATACTTGAACATTTTGATAATATCCTGAATATACTTCGAAACTGGTTTTACAGATACGATGAAAAGTTTTGTGTATCACTTTCACTCTTGAATTTATGGAATTTCCAGGTTATCATAACGGGGAAACTCGAAGCTTATAACGTATAGTCCCAAACTATAGTTCTCTGTATTGTGTTTTACCTCGTGAATAATCTCCAGCAGATTGCATAATCAGAGCGTCGGATTATGCACGCGTAGCCCGAAAAAGCCGCACGATTTTTTAAAAAATTATTAAAAATGAATACCAGGTGAAATTTACTCAAAATGCACTTGATAGATACATAATATATACATTAATCTGTCAGTAGAAGGTTACTGCTCTTTTAGTGAAAAAATATTGTCATTTTTTCTGATTAACTTCTAAGCGGGTCGAGCATACCATCACAGAGTCATAGCCAGGGTGAGTAATGGAGGGGAGGGGAGGGGAGGGGATGGTTACATAGAGTTGGACGTGTCTGCTCCACTGTACCCGGATGAGCCATTCAACGCGACTGAGTAACGTGTGTCTCTTCACCCTACCTCTGTAGGTGTGGTCGGGCACGTAGGTGTTCCCCTTGCCGCTGAACTCGAGGCGGTAGCGGCCATTGACCGGCTGCGGGTCGCCCGAAACGTCCTTGGGGCGCCGCTCGCAGCGGAAGGCGCCAGCGGCTGCCATCGACAGCTCCAGCGCCGTCACCAGCACCACCAACAACAGCGCCGAATACCGACGCTCCATCTGCGCATAGCACCAGTTACGGTCAAGAGATGTGATGAACTCTGTGCGGGATCAATTTGAAGAACAATATAAACAATGTCTAGAACAAATGTTATAAACTTCTAGGGCAGGAAGAGAATCTTAATGGGAAAACGTGATCTTCTTCCACATTTTTATACGTCCTAGATGTTTGAAACATTTATTATAATTCGTATACACATATTCGTATACAATAATGGCGGCTATGATATTAATCATTTTGGACCGCACGTTCTGAAAATTGCATTAGTTTGTCCAATCAATTTCTCAATATATGATTATTGAATGTACAAAAATACATATACTCCGACAAATAAACAAGTTATGCATTGAAATATCGAGTATTTCAGGTACATTGTTTCTTACAAAGTAAATATAAATCCTTCTACAATTCCGTATGTCACATTCTTATCCAGAAAGTAAGAAAAACAACACAAAACACATAGCTGGGCATCAGCAATTACTCATATTGCTGTATGTGATTTTATACTGTGTTGTTTGTAGGCATTCTAGATAGAAGCATGTAATGTACATGCAAACATAGCAAACATGTGTATCGATTAAAAAAAAACTTTCTAACTCGGATATATAGTTCGCCAGGAAAGTCTCTCCGCACTGGGTCTAGTCAGGGCCTCCTATTAAACATTGCAATGATGTTGGTAGCAAACAGGTCGCTGGGAAACAAATTAAGGAGACACTTTCAGCATATTTTATGATCATGGTGTGATTTTATGATTATTATGTTTGTGGCGAGTGCGGTATTTACATTTTCTTTTTTTACACGCTGCTATCAACATAATTTATGTTGCAAGCACTAAGGTGTCACTGCGGAGCGACTTTTCTGGTGCGCTGTATATGTTTACAATCATGAAACAAATATTATTAATTTGATTTCTAAATTAGTGCCTCATTATTAATACCTACAAAAACAGTTGTTAGATCTAAACAGTCAGCAGTTTTCAAATAAGCAGCGCAATTTTTCCTAGAACCATTTAAGAAATTCAAACATCACAATTTTGTTTGTTTGTTTGTTTTTGTTTTCAGACTTAAATTTTACTTCTCATACCAGCAAATTTACTCTAACCTTTATTATTGAATATTTATTGGATCTTCAATGTGCTTCCTTCACAAACTTGTATATCGATCTTACCTCACTTTGAATATCATTCAAGAAAAAGCGATACAAAATTTCTTGGCAGAGTATTCACAAATTAGACATTTGGTGAACTGATTGTCCTGATAGTTAAGATGGAGAGAATGCTCTTGAATATTAAGGAAGGTTATAAACAACCGACTGACATTTAATATTGATTGAAGAGTGTGTTTGGTTTTGGAAAATGAAGTGGGTTCAATTTCGTATTCTATTGCTTGAATATTACATTCTCGCGGTTATCTGCATTCACATCTTCTGAATTTTAGCTCATTCTTTAGCAGCATTGTTGCTCATTCTTTAGCTGGAGATTTTTTGTTTCTTTATTGCTCCAAGTTTTGCTTATTCATTTGAACGACAGCGTATAAACACAGCCCCATGTTAAGTAGTACCAGCACGTCACACGAACACGTGCTGATAATGATATCTTACTTAGTTGCTTGAATGATGCATTCGCCAAAACCGTCGAGTTCCAGAACTTCAAAACATTTGTTGGCATATAAAAACCTGAAGATTTAAAGATCCTTTGAAAAAATGGTTTTTCTTTTCAAGAATAAGTTGTTTCTATATATCCTTAGGGGTTTTTTCAGCCAACAGCCGAAACCCTTTACGTCCCTATGGGACGCATTTTCGACTAAGATATCTACACACTTTGCGGGCTCCTCTGGTCTGGGGTCAGAAGAACTCGAGGCCCTCCGTAACAATACATGCATGCCAGACAAGGGACAAACAACCATGCTCAAGGCGGGACTCATACTCGCGACCGTACCAACCGAAGCGCTGAGTTAGTAAAGCTCTTAGCCACCTCGGCCATCTAGGTCAGTTGTTTCTATTTATTTTGCAAATATAATTTCTTGTAGTTGCACATATTCATCGAGAAGACAGAAGTCGAAATGATACAAATTAAATATTTTAAAAGAATGTTAATTTTATATTAAATGATACTAAGGTGTGTGTGTGTACACTGAATCTAAAAGGGTTTCTCATCATCATTAACAAAGAGTTCAGCGCTACTTCAACAAACGTAATAAAAGGGTATCCGAAGGAATGCTGCTGATTTTGTCAAACAGTTGTTATTATTCGTGGAATATTTATCGCCACTTTTATTGCTTTGAATATGGAAGAGCACAATGTCCGAAGTACCGGCCCCAAAACAAACAGTTTATTTTATTGATGGTATGGAAAATTCATAAAACAAAACAGCCGCCATTGTCATTTATGTAAAACAGCCCATACGGTGAACAAAAGGCTATGCCAATCATTCTGGGCGGATGTACTGTGCGTATGACGTTAATTCTGTACATAAATAACACGTTTTTGAATTGTACAGGTAGACTTCCCATTTTTTGTGCTCCTGACGGTTCATATTTCAAATTAACATTCATTGTTTTTCATAGTACATTCCACATAATTAATGAGATGTCAAATTCGTATTTACTGAAAAACAATGGAAAGATATGAAGATAAATAGAGAAGTACGAATTGACGAAATGTTATTTAGTAAAATTAGCTATACGTTTCAGTGAATTGAAATTGACTACGTTTATTTATTCTGAGCCATTTAATAACAACATACTTACAAAGTAAATATAAATAGACGTTCTTTCAAGGCTGCCTGACAGAGGATCCAATACGTGCAAGCCGAATCTGGAGAAACGAAACACACTGCTGCTGGCAGAATGAGCCTAGAAATGTTATCTGCTTCTATTCAAGCCTGATAGTGAAGATTTCCAAAAAGCTAACTTCTAATATTGTTCACTAGTACGAGAAGATAAAGAAAATTGTTTGGATAAACATGTTTAAAATGTTCATTAGTATTATAATGCAAAAAAAATATGCTTATGAAACGATGAATTAAGACAAGCAATAATAAACGTCTTTGTAGGATATATTTTAATAATAAATAGTATAAAGTATTATAAAACTATCATAATTAAAAATTTATATTTTCGAATTGGGCCACTATTTCAGTCAATGAACGAGCTCACGTCAATGAATAATGCAAGGAATAAGCCTTAAAAAGACTTAAGGAGTAATCCTTAAAAAACCGTGCAGGGACATTTTCCAGGTCATACATGCATGCACAGCGGGTTGCATAGTCCCCTTCCAAGTACTAAATTAGCTGATTTGCGCTGGACGTCGTTAGGGAATTGTAAATAAAAAGGAGTTTAAAAAATTCAGCACGAGACAACAAGAACATATATGAGATACAAAATATAACAAATATGATTTATATAAATAAAATTCATTCTCTTATCGATTCCCTCAAGGAGAAAGATCAAATGGTTTGCCTTCTCCATATACATTTTCTTTTTCAATTCTACCTTTCATCAACATTTTTTATACGGAGCAGAAATATAGAATAAAATTGAATAGTCTAACTGAGTGGTCGCCAAATTTGTGAAGCTTCGAATAACGTAACGTTTTTAAATGGTATTGAGAGAACTCAAAAGAAGTGACGACAGAAATAATAATTTTTTTCATACGCTCCACATTAGCAAATGTCTGATGTACACGTGCAAACAATGGTCATAAATTCAAGATCACACACTCTAGTGTGAGAATGACACTGACAGTTGTGCAGGAGTATACAAGCAGCTGTTAACCAGAGTCAAATGTCTGAGAAAAGTGGAGCCCCTCCAGATTGACAACCTGAGCTTGGCAGTGCGAACTACCGAACATTTCCCCGCAATATAGCTGGTGATCGACGGTTTGCCGATCTCTGGATACTGCCTTCTTAGAGAAAGCAGAGTGGAGAAGATACCACAGTCCTTGCCAAACTCAGACTCAGGCATGTGCAAACTTCTCCAGTCTGTTTAACAGCACTAAAGAGACTGTACAGAATTCGTATCTAACTGAACAGTATGTATTCGATTTAGGCAATCAGACTATTGTTGCACGCCTGTTCATGTTAATGACATTTAGAACTTTTCTTTCCATACTTAAAACAATAAAAATATGTTGCAGCCCGTGATACCGTATACCATTATTGAAAAAACCAAGTATACAGTTACCTCAACCGAGTACTGACTTTATATATATATATATATATATATTTATATATATATATATATATATATATATATATATATATATATGTGTGTGTGTGTGTGTGTGTGTGTGTGTGTATGTATATGCGTGCGTGTGTGTGTGTGTGTGTGTGTGTGTTATCAGCGCAATCATGCGCCCAATTATTGTGTTAAAAGTGCTGATTAACTGAGATACAAAGAAAGCACAGTATTAAATAAAACGAAGTGAATGTTTGGATAAAAAAAGTATTATCTCTTTGTCATAATTATTCATTTTTCTGATCGTGATCATGAACAGAATAAGGAAGCATAGACACGCCACAAAATATAATTAGAAGATCGCGTCACAAATGCAGTTATCTTAACACGTCCTGCAATCTTCATTAGTATGATTCTGGGCAAAAACCTTTTAATAATATCTTAGAGCCTAAAGATAATATAGATGGGTATGTTTTTACTAAAATCTAATGTGAATGATTGAGCATTGAATGACAGATGAAATTCGGGAAATTCGAGAAAACCTACCACGAATCCGATTTGCAAACCACAAATTTTATCGACCGGGATTTGAACTCCAATTCCCGTGGTAGAAGGCGAGCTGTCGTACTTTAGTCTATACTATAGGTCGCGCACCTAGCGAAGTGACTCAGGGCGTAGCGCTCTGACTTCACAATTGAAAGCTCAGGTTCAATCCCCGTGTCGGCCATCCTGACCGGGGTTTCCGCGGTTTCCCCTCGGACATCCAGGCGAATGCTGGGATGGTTTTACTGAAAGGCCACGACCGCGAATCAGGTATCGCTAGC